GACATTGATGCTGGGGGAACTATACACATTGATGCTGTGGAAACTATAGACATTGATGCTGGGGGAACTATACACATTGATGCTGTGGAAACTATAGACATTGATGCTGTGGAATCTATACACATTGATGCTGTGGGAAACTATAGACATTGATGCTGGGAATCTATACACATTGATGTTGGGAATCTAAACACATTGATGTTGGGAATCTATACACATTGATGTTGGGAATCTATACACATTGATGTTGGGAATCTATACACATTGATGTTGGGAATCTATACACATTGATGCTGTGGAATCTATATATATTGATGCTGTGGAACTGTACACATTGATGGTGTGGAAACTATACACATTGATGCTGGGGGAACTATACACATTGATGCTGTGGAAACTATACACATTGATGCTGGGGGAACTATACACATTGATGCTGTGGAAAACTATAGACATTGATGCTGGGAACCTATGCACATTGATGTTGGGAATCTATACACATTGATGTTGGGAATCTATACACATTGATGCTGGGAATCTATACACATTGATGTTGGGAATCTATACACATTGATGCTGGGAATCTATACACATTGATGTTGGGAATCTATACATATTGATGTTGGGAATCTATACACATTGATGCTGGGAATCTATACACATTGATGTTGGGAATCTATACACATTGATGCTGGGAATCTATACACATTGATGTTGGGAATCTATACACATTGATGCTGGGAATCTATACACATTGATGTTGGGAATCTATACACATTGATGCTGGGAATCTATACACATTGATGTTGGGAATCTATACACATTGATGCTGGGAATCTATACACATTGATGTTGGGAATCTATACACATTGATGTTGGGAATCTATACACATTGGTGCTGTGGGAACTATACTTTTCGAACTTTTTCAGTAATAGGGTTGGCCGGGTGTTCGAATCAAACTCAAACTATGAAACCCAAACAAACGCTCTGAAACTACGGAACGCCAAGTTCGAAACACCCTCGAACCCACACCATCCTGTACACCTAACATGAAGTCTGTCAAGTTGCAAGATTTTCATGTATTTCAAAAGAAAATCCAATGAAGAATGATACAAAAATATCCGCCGCAGAATGTGTTCAACGTCCGTCACGTGACAGAACATTATAATATTAATAGATAACATCAAACAGCTCAAAATAGATAACACAAAATAGCACAAAAGTGATAGATATCATTCAACAGCTAAAAGTTATCATGATAAAGACAGTACAAAAGAGATACCACAACATAGAACAGCACAACAGAGGTGAACACAGAACAGCACAACAGAGGTGAACACAGAACAGCACAACAGAGGTGAACACAGAACAGCACAACAGAGGTGAACACAGAACAGCACAACAGAGGTGAACACAGAACAGCACAACAGAGGTGAACACAGAACAGCACAACAGAGGTGAACACAGAACAGCACAACAGAGGTGAACACAGAACAGCACAACAGAGGTGAACACAGAACAGCACAACAGAGGTGAACACAGAACAGCACAACAGAGGTGAACACAGAACAGCACAACAGAGGTGAACACAGAACAGCACAACAGAGGTGAACACAGAACAGCACAACAGAGGTGAACACAGAACAGCACAACATAGGTGAACACAGAACAGCACAACAGAGGTGAACACAGAACAGCACAACAGAGGTGAACACAGAACAGCACAGCAGAAATAAAGAACACAGAATAGCACAACAGAAATAGAGAACACAGAACACAATAGGAATAGAGAACACAGAACAGCACAACAGAAATAGAGAACACAGAACACAAAAGAAACAGAGAACACAGAACAGCACAACAGAAATAGAGAACACAGAACACAATAGGAATAGAGAACACAGAACAGCACAACAGAAATAGAGAACACAGAACACAAAAGAAACAGAGAACACAGAACAGCACAACAGAAATAGAGAACACAGAACAGCACAACAGAAATAGAGAACACAGAACACAAAATAAATAGAGAACACAGAACACAAAAGAAACAGAGAACACAGAACAGCACAACAGAAATAGAGAACACAGAACACAAAAGAAACAGAGAACACAGAACAGCACAACAGAAATAGAGAACACAGAACACAAAATAAATAGAGAACACAGAACACAAAATAAATAGAGAACACAGAACACAAAAGACACAGTTAACCCCCCAAAACAGATGCTTTTCGAGGCGTAAGACAGAGACAAGACAAGCCACTCCTCCCTGCAGCCTCTCTAAGACAATACAGCTTCTCAAGAACACCCAGATAATGAACACCAAATGAGGAACAGACAGCAGCATGGTGGTAGTGGAGGAGGAGGAGGAGGAGGAAGATGACAGTGGTTGGGCACAGTTTGGTCCAGTCTCCCTCTGACCATTTTCTGACCGAGTATGAAGGGTCCCATCCAATCTCAAAATGTATCTCGGGTGCATGTAAGTATGCAACTATCACGGGCGAACTGCCCCCTCATATCACGGGCGAACTGTCCCCTCATTCTTAGGAGGTCGTTGTTCGCTGCAATAAAAGCCACCGAGGCTGCTCAAGATGCGAGTGTGACCAGCTGTAATATCCCCTTCACGGACCAATCATCATCACAGAATGGGGAAGGAAGATTAGACGGGGTCGTCTAATCACTAGACAGGGTCGTCTAATCACTAGACAGGGTCGTCTAATCACTAGACAGGGTCGTCTAATCACTTGACAGGGTCGTCTAATCACTAGACAGGGTCGTCTAATCACTAGACAGGGTCGTCTAATCACTAGACAGGGTCGTCTAATCACTAGACAGGGTCGTCTAATCCTGTAGTGACGGACGGAGCACATCTGGGACCGTCGGGAAAGTTACGACAGCAAAGGTCTTGCCACGGGACTCATTACTTCTCACGCACCTCATACTACACACACGGAAACTTTAGAGGAATGATTAACTGTCCCCAAATACTACCTCGAGTGTTGCCGGGGACTGGTTGGTCATGTAGCTCATATAGTGGGCTACAGGACCAACCAATCATTATAGACAATCGCTTGTGAAGTGGTATTTGTAGGAGAGGAAAAAAACATGGCTTGTCTAAGGTCATGATTCGTCAACCATTTATGCAGCCATTTACGAAACCTGTACATCTGTCTTCAATCATGGCAGCTTTGTTTACTTTTATTAAACAGGTGGTGTTACACATGTGAAGGCTTCCACAGGTGGTGCGACACAGGTGTAGGCTTCCACAGGTGGTGTGACACAGGTGTAGGCTTCCACAGGTGGTGTAGCACAGGTGTAGACTTCCACAGGTAGTGTAGCACAGGTGTAGACTTTCACAGGTGGTGTAGCACAGGTGTAGACTTCCACAGGTGGTGTAGCACAGGTGTAGACTTTCACAGGTGGTGTAGCACAGGTGTAGACTTCCACAGGTGGTGTAGCACAGGTGTAGACTTCCACAGGTGGTGTAGCACAGCTGTAGACTTCCACATGTGGAATATTGCAAGGCGAAATATGTTTACTATTAAGGTAAACAGATGGAGCAAATAGTTTACAATTTCTACTATAATCCAGCAACTTCAAGAGTACATAAAATGGAAACCAGTAATCACGTACCACTGAGGATAATTTTACACCCTTGCTTCGTAAAGATTGAAAATGTTAAATTATTGTTTCTAATATCGATGAAACGAATATGGAAATCAATCGTACACAATCGCCAGGAATTCTCCCAGCCTAGAAGGAGTTTGTCAGCCGAAAGCCAAGGGATTTTCACAGGTTATGGGAGCGTCACAGAGAACTTGGGTGCCTAGTATCCCTGGAAACACAAACCGTAACTGACCCTATTTTCCGCTTGTTACAACTTGTAATAAAGTTGTTACATCTTGGCTTAACGTGTTTTTGACGTATTAGAACGTTGTTACAACTTGTTATATTGGTTCTTATAACTGGTTAGGAGGTGTTATATCTTGCTCGAACGTTGTAGCAACGTCGTAGTTTCGCTGTGTGTTTGGCGGGATGGAGATTACAGAGGGTCAAGCAATTAAATATGATGGGTTTGGGCGTGTTGGCAGCCCAATATGGGGCTTTATAGGGCTTTCTCCGGCCAAGTGAGAGGGCCTAGGGGTATAACCTGCCCAGGGTATTGAGGAATCGAGGGGGGGTTTGCCAGCCATAAATAATCCTTAGTAAAGTGTCTCTGAGCGCCATGCCAGACATAAAGGTTAAAACTTTACAAAGCGATAATAGAGGAGAAGCCTTGCCGGCCTGGTCGGGAGGCCAGGTCGACGACTGGGCCGCGGGGACACTAAGCCCCGGAAGCACCTCAAGGTAACCTCAAGTTAAGGCCTCGTGGACAGTTCTCCAGCCTTCTCCTGGAGGGTACCCGGGCGTCTCCGTGGACAGTAACCCGCCCCTGTCTACAATACTCTCCCGTACACATACACGCAGCTCGCATAAAGGAGAATTGACACCTGATGAAGAAGGCGTGACCAACGACCTGTCTCCAGAGCGACCGTCTAAACACCCGTATCTAAACCCCCATCCTGGCCGTTAATAACGCTAACCCGCATGTCCCAAACTGTCGGGAAACTCCTTTATATACAGCACAACATTGGCTCTTATCGACTATATGGAAAACTAGTCCCTTTTGGCACGTATATGAGCCGAAGGAACGAATGGAGAATGCAGGCGCCATCTTATAGTCTCCTACTTTGCATTGTATCACGACGACTCCTAACTAAGCAAATTGGACTAAATATGGTCAGTATTGACTAGGAATGATCCGTGGAGGATTCGCGGACCTGCATCAACCAGCCAGCCTAACTAAGCAAATTGGACTAAATATGGTCAGTATTGACTAGGAATGATCCGTGAAGGATTCGCGGACCTGCATCAACCAGCCAGCCGGCCCAGGTCTCAGCCCCTTAGACCGGAACTGCAGGTAAATGACTCGAACAAGGAATGATTTAAACCGTAGATGATCAATAGAGACTTCGGAAAACTTGCTCGAGTTCAGGAAAGAATTCCTGTGCTGTCGCAGGTATAAGGGGCACCAGCCTAGGGGTATCGAACGGCATCCTAATACGCTATGGTTCAAATGTATATCGGGATGTATTGTCCAGTGCTTGAGAGGTATTGATGCACTATGATGGTATTGATCACATGTGGACCTTGGTGAAGCCTGTCACTGTCTCAGACGAGATGAAGCTGTGATCACTATACCCTGGTATAAGGCTGTCACACCCTGGTATAAGGATATGTCACAACCTGATATAAGGATATGTCACACCCTGATATAAGGCTGTATTTACGATATTTGGTGATAACAGCCAGTTCGTTATCGAGATTTCATCTGAAACCAGTTCTTCCCGACGTCTTGGGAGAACCGGTTTGGGAATTTGCTCAGCCGACCTATCACAATAGTCTCAGAACATTTAAAGAGTCCCCAAGAAACGGTCGTATTAACTCAAGAACACTCTTAAGAGCACAATAAAGGTATAGTGACCCAACACACAAATGTTACATGAAAGTGAAGACGTTTCGATCCGTCCTAAACTCTTATCAAGTCGCTACATAGCAAGAGCGCAAGAAAGGTTTGCAATGTGCAAGAGAGCCGGTCGGCCGAGCGGACAGCACGCTGGACTTGTGATCCTGTGGTCCCGGGTTCGATCCCCTGCGCCGGCGAGAAACAATGGGCAAAGTTTCTTTCACCCTATGCCCCTGTTACCTAGCAGTAAAATAGGTACCTGGGTGTTAGTCAGCTGTCACTGGCTGCTTCCTGGGGGTGGAGGCCTGGTCGAGGACCGGGCCGCGGGGACACTAAAGCCCCGAAATCATCTTAAGATCTCTTGCTAAGGGACCAAGACGGACAGAAACATCTTCACTTTCATATCATATTCATCCTAAGGGACAAAGATGGACCGAAACATCTTCACTTTCATATCATATTCGTGGACGATATATTTTACATCGCGTTATGGGACTTATTCACTGAATAATATTCAACATTAAGTTGGTTATTTCCAAGCGATGATCTCTCAAACCTAAAATGTTTTGTGACAGGCAGCTGAGTGACAGAGTGACAGGACGTTCAGTGACAGTGGTAACACCGTAGGGTGACAGGCGTTAGTGGGAGACAGAAGGGTGACAGGCGTTAGTGGGAGACAGAAGGGTGACAGGCGTTAGTGGGAGACAGAAGGGTGACAGGCGTTAGTGTGAGACAGAAGGGTGACAGGCGTTAGTGGGAGACAGAAGGGTGACAGGCGTTAGTGGGAGACAGAAGGGTGACAGGAAGAGACAGAATACAAGAAGTAAGTAAGCTTATCTAACACAATCTGGCCTCGACACATCTGTACACACCTGTGCACATGTGTGGCCTACAAGCGTATGTGTGAGTGTACGCAGGTGTTCGTACAGTTGTTTATAGCCAGCGATACAATAAGCAATCCAACCATACCTGTCAAGAAATCATTAGACAACCAAAAAATACACACATACACAAAACATACATACATACACCATCCTGGAGTATACATACATCATCCTGGAGTATACATACACTATCTTGGCATATAACAACACCTCCATACGCAATTGCGAGCCCTAACAGGTCGTATACCATATACCATTTATACGTATGCATTTTCGGATACTTGAACTTACCATGTAACTTACTATCATGTAAGACTATGTAACTTCTGGTTCTGGGTTTGATCCCCGGTGGAGGCGGAGACAAATGGGCAAAATGTTTCTTTCAGCCTGCTGCACCTGCTCACTTAGCAGTAAATAGGTACCTGGGAGTTAGACAGCTGCTACGGGCTGCTTCCTGGGGGGTTGTAACAAAAAGTAGGCCTGGTTGAGGACCGGGCCGCGAGGACGCTAAGCCCCGAAATCATCTCAAAATAACCTCAAGAAGATAACTTACTATTAAACAGTTTACGAGATTGTAAACTTCACAACCTCAAGGTTGTTATTGGTACAAACAACTGTGTAGTGCTTCAGAGCTCATAAACTATTTACTAAATGTAAACAAAGCCGCCATGATTGAGGAAAAGATGTACAGGTTTCGTATAAATGGATGCGTAAATGCTTGATGAATGCTGGTCTCTTGAAGACCCGTGTCTTAAGGAACTGAACCACTGGGGATCGAACGCCAGCCCGCTGTAAGATCCATCACCTTCGCTCTACCGACTAGTCCAAATGGAAGGGACACGAACTGGTTCGAAGGACCAATATATTAACATCTTCTACGGCTGTTCCTCACCGATGTGAACCCCACCATTAGGCCCACCTACTCAAGTCACTCTTCTAGTGATTTTGATCACATGGTACTGGCGCCCCTATGATCATTATTGATCACCTACCTTCACTCACTCTCCTGTAATCATTTTAATCACCCATTTCGTCATCCGTAATTGTTGTCATAATAAATTGCGACTTCAAAGACCTCTGTAATTCCCCACTGAATTAATGACCATGAAATATAGATACGCAAAGTCTACTACGCCGGTACGCCTTTCCTCCTATTAACCAGCTGGCGGATGGGTATAGGCTTATTTCCGCTGAGGAGCTGGGTACATCCATCCCATCTGCCTTGGTGTTGGGCTTAAGGCTTATCAATCTCTGGAGAGTTAGTAATGCTTATCAACCTCTGGAGGGTTATTAATGTTTAACAACCTCTGGAGGGTTATTAATGTTTAACACCCTCTGGAGGGTTATTAATGTTTAACAACCTCTGGAGGGTTATTAAGGTCACCACAACAACTTACTGACCAACCAGCACGTACACTTTAGCCATATATATATATATATATATATATATATATATATATATATATATATATATATATATATATATATATATATATATATATATATATATATATATATATATATATATATATATATATATATATATATATATATATATATATATAACAGAAACAGGTAGCCTAAGGTACCAAGGTGAAATGTGTTCAAGCCCCATGTCGGGGTGGGCGTGGATGGGCGGCGTGGGTGGTGGGCGTGGGTGGGCGTCAGCCAGGAAGAGGCAATATCAGAGAGAAACGAGACAATACCGCTGTTTCTCACAGGGTCACCGACAGGCCACTTTACACAAGGACCCAGGAAGCTACCCATCTCGCCCTAGTCTCCCCTCCCACCCTCGCTATAGAAAGAAAACGGGAGCATCTGGGCGGGAAAATCATTCGGGAATAATATTCCTATTACCCACGTGGCTAATGTGCCGATCACGCCAGTGTCCGCGATGATAAAAGAATGAAGGAATGAAAAAAAAAATCTACCTGGCGGAGGAATGAATTAGTCATGAATATATTATTATGCAAAACGCGTCGTGTGGCCGTCGGCTCGAACATAATACATTACGCCAAGGTAGGAAGTCCCATTATGCATTGGAGAAAGTTGGTGGAAAGAGTATGGGGAGCTTTATCTTGGACCACACAAGCGCTTCCGGGGCCCTGGATGGCCAGGGAGGGAGAAGAGGAAAGCGGATAAAAGAGGGATAGTGGTAGAGGCGATAGGTGCAGGAGATATGCAGAATGAATCGTTGGCGGCCGTGAATAGGAAGGACGTAGAAAGGTCTGGGTATAGTCCCCAAGAAAGGAAGATAAGGTGGAGAGGGAAGTAGCTGGAGACCACTTTAAGGGAGGGATAATTCACCCATGAATTCGTCACATATATAGACACATGTGTGCGCACACATACTCACATATACGCAAACATGTGAAGACACGTACATACACATATGTATGCATGACATCACAACAGAAAACTTTATATATATTCAATCTACAAACAGCTTTTGTTTTTATTAATAGACTTGGGTAGATCTACATGTATTTAGCAACCCAAGACTACATGAAAGGGTACACAATGCCTATTCAGAACTACCTATTTGATACTAAAAAAGTCCCCATCAAACAAGGTGGTTAGTGACATAGGGCCACGTGACCATTAGCCTGCAGAGGCAAACGTTTGGGTGCATTTTTTTTTTTTTTTGAGATATATAGAAGAGTTGTTACATTGTTGTAGAGCCACTAGTACGCGTAGCGTTTCGGGCAGGTCCCTGGAATACGATCCCCGCCGCAAAGAATCCTTGTTACAACCAAGTACACATTTTACTGTTGCGTTAAACAGAGGCTACAGTTAAGGAATTGCGCCCAGTAAATCCTCCCCGGCCAGGATACGAACCCATGACAAAGCGCTCGCGGAACGCCAGGCGAGTGTCTTACCACTGCACCACGGAGACATTATGAGGCTATCCTCAAGAACACCAGAGTGAATAAGGTAATTGCGAAGCTGTAGATGTCTCATACCAGCAGGTCTTAAAGGTCTAATGATTGAACAATCAATAGTGTGAGATTATATACCAGTTCCTGCTCAGGAGTGCTCAGGATTGGGGAGATTCGTCACCTGTAGCCACCTGCCACAGGTAACGGAAGCCCAATCTGATCCAGGCAGCCACTGTGTCGCACAGTCTGGTCCACGTCTTGTGCTGCTCATATACATGCGTTTAAGATCTGTACAAACCTTAGTTTTTATACTACTGTTTGTTCGCCTTTGATAATAATTTATCTCTAGTTAGACCTCAATGTCTGGACCAACATTGCAGTTTCCATTCTCACCGCCACGACCTCCTTTCCCCAAGCTTCCCCAAGTTTCTCCAAGCTTCTCCAAGTTTCTCCAAGCTTCCCCAAGCTTCTCCAAGCTTATCCAAGCTTCCCCAAGCTTCGCCAAGCTTCTCCAAGCTTCTCCAAGCTTCCCCAAGCTTCTCCAAGCTTCTCCAAGCTTCCCCAAGCTTCTCCAAGCTTATCCAAGCTTCCCCAAGCTTCCCCAAGCTTCTCCAAGCTTCCCCCAAAGTTCTCCAAGCTTCCCCCAAAGTTCTCCAAGCTTCCCCAAGCTTCTCCAAGCTTCCCCAAGCTTCTCCAAGCTTCTCCAAGCTTCTCCAAGCTTCCCCAAGCTTCCCCAGCTCCCCCAAGTTTCTCCAAGCTTCCCCAAGCTTCTCCAAGCTTCTCCAAGCTTCTCCAAGCTTCCCCAGCTCCCCCAAGCTTCCCCCAAGCTTCTCCAAGCTTCCCCAGCTCCCCCAAGCTTCCCCAAGCTACTCCAAGCTTCTCCAAGCTTCCCCAAGCTTCCCCAAGCTTTCCCAAGCACACACACACTATTCCCTTACTGGCAAGTGTAACAGGACTCCAGATTTTAGAGTGACCAGAATCCCAAACCGGCCATTGGCTAAGCTTTTTGGCCGCTATTTGAATGAGCTTCCCACACCGGCCGCTGTTTAGACCAGCCTCTTGGCCGCCTCCCTATCCGGCCGTTGTCTGGGGCCGGAGGTCAGTTCCTTAACCGTCCGTCGCACCGGCCGCTCTTGGGTCAGCCTCTTCGCTGCCCTGATAACTATCTTCTGTCCCGATGAATGCCCCCAGCACCTGCTGTTTCCTCGGAGCCGTTCGTATCAAACAACACACTAGAAGGTAAAGGGACGACGACGTTTCGGTCCGTCCTGGACCATTCTCAAGTCGCTTGTGAGAATGGTCCAGGACGGACCGAAACGTCGTCGTGGCTCGGAGCCGTTCGTATCAAACAACACACTAGAAGGTGAAGGGACGACGTCGTTTCGGTCCGTCCTGGACCATTCTCAAGTCGATTGTGAGAATGGTCCAGGACGGACCGAAACGTCGTCGTCCCCTTCACTTTCTAGTGTGTGGTCTGCTCAACATACTTCAGCCACGTTATTGTGACTCCTCGCCTGCAGTTCGTATCAGTGCTGGAGTTTTACTTAAAGTGTAGTGGTTGTGTAGCAGGTTCGAATCCTCGTCACGGCCCTTGTGGATTTGTACATACAATTCTCAATTCTGACACTCCCAATTATTATTATTATAACAATAATAACCCTGTGTTGTGAAGTTGTTTACTCTATGTAAACACAGCCTCCATGATAAAGGACGGGGGGTATACAGTTCACCTGCATGATGTCTGTCTCCAGCACGGCAATGTCACCTTGTGTCACCTTCACTACCCCCTGTCACTGAGAGAGTTTTCTCTACCTGTGTTCCGTCGCACCTCTTCCTCCTCCTCCTCCCGCCTTCATTCTTGATTTTTGAGCATTTTTGAGCATTCAGTTGTGATCATGTCTCCTTCCCTCCTATTTTCCAGTGTGTGACTGACACACTAAGTTCGACAGTGGCACCTGACTGACACACTAAGTTCGACAGTGGCACCTGACTGACACACTAGGTTCGACAGTGGCACCTGACTGACACACTAAGTTCGACAGTGGCACCTGACTGACACACTAAGTTCGACAGTGGCACCTGACTGACACACTAAGTTCGACAGTGGCACCTGACTGACACACTAAGTTCGACAGTGGTAAATTACAATACACACATGTAAAGCAGTAGCTTTAATAAATAATAATTAACATATTTTTACAAGAATATTTATTGCCTAATTCTGTTTACTAATAACACTTAACCAAAAAAAAATTACAAACATTTTCACTTTACATCTGACTTACCGGCTATACACATGTTGTATATGATTTTGTATTAATATAATTATTTTTGTCCCTTTATACCATTTTAACGAAGATTAACGAGGCTGGTGATTAATTATGGTCATACAGTCGGATCGAACCTGTGTCTTTAGACTCCCCAGGCGCATGCAATACCGACTGAACCATGATGAGCTCAACAAATATCCCAACTAGAGGTATTATAAAGACTTACTTATCTTATAAAGCCATCTCGTTCATGTTTACACTTCGTTCATTAAGTGTCATCTAAAGTGATCAATTAAGTATCTTAATGTAATCATTGCTTAGTTATCTTCATCTTGGTTATCTTGAGATGATTTAGGGGCTTAGCGTCCCCGCGGCCCGGTCCTCGACCAGGCCTCCTTTTTGTTACACACCCCCAGGAAGCAGCCCGTGACAGCTGTCTAACTCCCAGGTACCTATTTACTGCTAGGTGAACAGGGGGGCATCAGGGTGAAAGACACTCTGCTCATTTGTTTCCGCCTCCACCGGGGATCGAACCCGGAACTTCTGGACTACGAATCCCGAGCGTTGCCCTCTCAGCCGTCAGGCCCCCGTCATGGTGTGTATGTATACACTGAGTATACTTAGTCCTCGACTATGTTCACGATGAGAGTATACTGTTCTCAGATCACTGTTCTCAGATCAGTTCTCAGATCAGTCTTCAGATCATTAATGTGAAGTATGACTGAGAAAGTCAATAGAAGCCATGATGGGGGAATCGAACGGGCATATTACACATACTCCCAAGCACACGCCACAACCAACCCAGCCACGACGTGCTGGAAAGCAAGACTGCCTGTGATTCAATTGACTCCTCTTGAGGGATGGAGGGGTTTCTGAGGCTTCCACTGAAGCTCAATCAGGGTTTCATCGCTTGGGCGTCCCTCAGTGTGTAAGTTCGAGACCTTCAACAGGCTTCTACTGATTTTCTCATAGGAAGAATATTATATATGACAAAATACACATAGTAGAATGTCAGTTTCCATACATATTACAGTAATTGTATTAATTATGCACGACCAATTTCATTATATACTGAATATTATAATGCTCCTCTCAGCCAAGACTCGAGGCCTATAGCCGAGACCCGAGGCCTATAATTTTCCTCCTGTCAATCAATGGAGTCCTGTCAATCAATGGATTAAAAATGCGGGCTGTGTGGGTTATTATTAGCCGATAACTTGTTAATATCACCGTTTATACCACTATCATGTTCGTTAATTCATGTTATGGGTATAAAAAAGGTCTCAGGGCAGCGCCCAGGGGAACCCCACTCCCAGGGGGGGATGATGGACATTCTTCCCTCGATTGAACCATCGACAAAAATAACCCCAATGACAAATAAGAAAATTTTCTGAAAAGGGCCGCCAAGAGGAGGTAAAAACCTTCACTTTAGGTTTTCTTTACAGGAGCGAGAAAGTGTACAGCGAGCGATCATTACCCCCCCCCCAAATGGTTCGGTCAGTTCAGAGGCATTCCTTAGGAGGTAGTAAACATCTTTGATAAACAGTAGCTGCGGTGGCCCGCTGGTCTCTCTCTCTCTCGAGGGGCAGCCTTGCTCTCTCTCTCACTCTCTCGAAGGGCAGCCTTGCTCTCTCTCTCACTCTCACTCTCTCTCTCGAAGGGCAGCCTTGCTCTCTCTCTCACTCTCTCTCTCGAAGGGCAGCCTTGCTCTCTCTCTCTCTCTCTCTCTCTCTCGAAGGGCAGCCTTGCTCTCTCTCTCTCTCTCACTCTCTCTCTCGAAGGGCAGCCTTGCTCTCTCACTCTCTCTCTCGAAGGGCAGCCTTGCTCTCTCTCTCTCTCTCTCGAAGGGCAGCCTTGCTCTCTCTCTCTCTCTCTCTCACTCTCTCTCTCGAAGGGCAGCCTTGCTCTCTCACTCTCTCTCTCGAAGGGCAGCCTTGCTCTCTCTCTCTCTCACTCTCTCGAAGGGCAGCCTTGCTCTCTCTCTCTCTCTCACTCTCTCGAAGGGCAGCCTTGCTCTCTCTCTCTCACTCTCTCGAAGGGCAGCCTTGCTCTCTCTCTCACTCTCTCGAAGGGCAGCCTTGCTCTCTCTCTCACTCTCTCGAAGGGCAACCTTGCTCTCTCTCTCTCACTCTCTCGAAGGGCAGCCTTGCTCTCACTCTCACTCTCTCGAAGGGCAGCCTTGCTCTCTCTCTCTCTCTCACTCTCTCGAAGGGCAACCTTGCTCTCTCTCTCTCACTCTCTCGAAGGGCAGCCTTGCTCTCTCTCTCTCACTCTCTCGAAGGGCAGCCTTGCTCTCTCTCTCTCTCACTCTCTCGAAGGGCAACCTTGCTCTCTCTCTCTCTCACTCTCTCGAAGGGCAGCCTTGCTCTCACTCTCACTCTCTCGAAGGGCAGCCTTGCTCTCTCTCTCTCTCTCACTCTCTCTCTACTCATAAAGAGTTTTGCTAATGTCCCACAGCATAACCTCTCACAAGATTACATCCTGTAACTCATACAACATTTCTGTACTTTCTCATTGACGTTTGAGCATAAGGCGGCGGGAGGCATCGATATGCTCAGCGGTTGTGAGAATGTATTTGTCGTCGGCAAATACATTCTATCGACCAAGGAGCATTTTAGGGGATATTTACGGCTGTAATACAGCCTTTTATGGCGAGGAATACCGCTCCGGGTGACCGCTCGACTGGACACAAGAGTCTAAACGGTGTTTCGGAGGTCAAAACAGGTCGGTAAATTGACCTTGTTTGGGTGCTTAAGAGTTGTTTAGAAGTCAATTAGCCCCCGTGCTGTTGGCCGGCGCTAAGCACGTTAGACCAAATCATCTTAACTACATTTCTGAGATAGGAATAGCTCCAAAAATATCTACTTTGGGTTAATCTCTGTTAGCAAGGTCACAGTTTCGGGGTTTATATGTTATAGCGGTGTCTAACAACCTGGTTGACCAATCAGACCGGGCCACAGGGCAAGTGATCCCTGGAATCAGAACAGGGTTTTTGAGATCTTGATTTCGGGACTTAGCGTCCCCGCGGCCCGGTCCTCGACCAGGCTTCCTAATGGCCTGTCAGTTGAGTGGACAGCGCTTCGGAATCGTAGTCCTCAGGTTCCGGGTTCGATCCCTGGCGGAGGCTGTTTCCGCCTCCGCCAGGGATCTATATGTTTTGGTAGGGACGCGAGTCTTATTTTCCTCGTGTCACCCCTTTTATATGACAGGAACCATCGGAAATGCATCCGAGGTGCCCTGTGGCGCCTATAAACATCCGAGGTGCCCTGTGGCGCCTATAAACATCCGAGGTGCCCTGTGGCACCTATAAACATCCGAGGTGCCCTGTGGCGCCTATAAACATCCGAGGTGCCCTGTGGCGCCTATAAACATCCGAGGTGCCCTGTGCCACCTATAAACATCCGAGGTGCCCTGTGGCGCCTATAAACATCCGAGGTGCCCTGTGGCGCCTATAAACATCCGAGGTGCCCTGTGGCACCTATAAACATCCGAGGTGCCCTGTGGCGCCTATAAACATCCGAGGTGCCCTGTGGCGCCTATAAACATCCGAGGTGCCCTGTGGCACCTATAAACATCCGAGGTGCCCTGTGGCGCCTATAAACATCCGAGGTGCCCTGTGGCACCTATAAACATCCGAGGTGCCCTGTGCCACCTATAAACATCCGAGGTGCCCTGTGCCACCTATAAACATCCGAGGTGCCCT